GTATCCACTCATCCGATGATGGACATTTGGGCTGATTCCAACTCTTGGCTATTGTAAAGAGTGCTGCAATGAACATTGGGGAACAGGTGTACCTTCGACTTGATGATTTCCATTCCTTTGGATATATTCCCAGCAGTGGGATAGCTGGGTCATATAGTAGATCTATCTGCAACTGTTTGAGGAACCTGCATGCCATTTTCCATAGAGGCTGCACCATTTTGCATTCCCACCAACAATGTATGAGAGTTCCTTTTTCTCCGCAACATCGCCAGCATATATTGTTCAGAGTCTTTTGGATTTTATTTCTACATTATACAAATGCATCATTTATCTTGGGTTACTCTCTCTTCCTAAACTTGAATTTTAAAAAGTTTAAACCATTTTTCTTACTTCTTTGTAAATCACAAGAGCCTACTGTTTTTTGGGGGGCAAGGGGAGTCATAGGTTTTCCTGTTATCTGTTTTCTGGGCAAGTTGTCTTCTATTGATGAATATGTTTAGTTATTCTGTGTGATAATTAAGTAAATTAAAATATGAGTCTATCTAGGAAGACCACATTATCACATTTCAGGGAAAACACTATTTTTTTCCATTTAGTTTTTATCACCTCGCCCTCTTAGCCAGCACCGCAGAGTTTCTTATCATCAGGGAAACCGACAGACCCTTAGACAACTCAGCTGAACTTCAGAAATTCAATGATTCATTCCAGTGAGCAAGGCTTTTAGCCGACAAGTGGTGTTTGACCTTTTCCCGATCATAAACTTCAGCCATTGTTTTATTTCTGAGCCAATATGTTTCTATCTGGTCAACTAGATTTTAACTGGAAACAAAGGAATTAAGCCCTCAAATCTGTAATATTCAGCTGACTCGATCTTTTGCAAGAGTGGATAAGAGGAAAAGGCATCCATTCAAAAAGTTTCTCTGCTTTCCAGAGGTTTCTGAGGGGCCTATTAAAACCACTAGTGAATGAAAGAAAAATCCAGCGACACTTTTCTGTGTGTTTTCTCCAGTCATGTTACAGAAGGTTATGGAAAAGGAAATGTAGGTTACCCTTGTCCAAACCATCATGTTAAAAAATAAATTTAAAAGGATGCAATTGGGATACTAGAGACTTGCAGTATGATTACATTTCAAATATTGAACTTGAAATTTGGGGATAAAATCTATTTTACTTACTAAGTTGATCTCTGCAAAACAAATACATTTTA